GTTCAATCACCTTGTAACCTCAGAACTCAAGTAAAAACTCTCCTGGACTCTTTAACTGCACTGCACTCTGCACTGACCCCAACAGAAAACAGTCTGTATTGTTCATGACGTGACCACATTGCACAGCACAGTCTGATACATGGAAATGTGTCTAATGTGCTGTTGCCTAGAAAAAGACTACATAACCCCATTGTTCTATTGTTGCGTACATGCATTACTTAGCAACGGCTGTTTCTGTGGCTCAACAGTTGCATGGAGCAAATATGCTACAATATATCTGCATACGAGCATTAAATATAATGGCACAAAACTGAGTATAGAGAAAATACTATTGGGTTACACAATAACCCACATATTTTTTGTTCAAAGTGTACTGATAGAAACATTATGTAGATGTAGTACAATGGACCATAAGTACTTTCTTGGGACAACATATGAATAAGAAATAATTAACTTTAGACAAATATGGAACCTGGTATCATTACGTGGTGTAGGCAAATTCCTGATATAAATGGAAGACAGGCTGAGAGTTAATTTAAAAACATTCTCCACACAGGATTAAAACACGTGAAACAGTGAAAGTATCATTATAAACACATTAATATAATGCATTTCTTTCAATGAACCACAAAGAAAAACAAAGCAGTAACTGGCCCGTGGCAAAAATAAAAATTGTGTAATTTATGAAAGTACCCTCCACTGCAAACCCAAAAGCAACCCACGAAACAATGAACACTAAACGGACAAAACATGAACTGTCACCAATCTCCAGGAAAGCCCACATGCAACAACAGTGTTAGTTTTGATGAAAGGGCAGCATAAAACCCATAATAGTGATCACTTTCAGAAACTGCTGACAAGGCGACTGAACATAATACACGCACAATGGAATTTGGAAGATCCCCCTTAACAACAAGGATGCAATCCACACGTGAAAATGGTTTCCCATTTTTCATGATGGGTGACGGACTTATGTAAGGCAGTATGGACCTAATACTAAATTGGTGCAGGATCCTGAAGGTGACAATTATGCCCATTCCAAGACCACTCACTTGTCACATCCACCACACAATGAGGAAGCAGAAACAGGTACATTTAGGCATGTCAAAAAGTGCATCGAACTATGTTAATGTTAGTTCTGGATAACAATGGGTGCACTTAATAATATATGAAATCAAATGTGCACAAATTATACAGTAAGTTTTCATTCATACAATGTACTCCTTTTTACCTTCAATTTTAGCTGAGTAATAGTACACTGTGGACAATAAATTAATTTTTATCTTTCTCTTGGTACTTTTCACCTGTATACCTTATGCTGATAAATGCAATTCTGTTTTGAATTGACACTAGTATATGTCAACCATCTCTTAATAAACAATTTACAGCTAATTCAAAATGTTATAAACTGTAAATACTGCAATATACAATGACATTATAAGCACGATGCAGCTTTTTGACATGGTATGAGGGGTTTTCTTTCACACAGTGCAAACGTATTTGGGTCAGCAAACAATATTGTGTGGCAAATAAAATTAAAATGAATACACACATAAAATGGCAGGCATAACAGCTTAGTAAAAGCAGCAAATAGAAAAGTTATTTAATTTTATAGCTTATAATTAAAACATCAGCATGCATTCATTACGTATAAATTCAGACAAAAATATAATAAACTGAAATTAAATTCCAAAAGTAGCAGCACACCATAGTAAACATAACACAGAGTAAAAAACATCTTCAACCTAAAACCTGTATCATACTGTTATCAACAAATTTATTAAAAAATATTGTGTCATCAATTCATATGGGAAAGAACATTTCAAAATCATATAATTCTGATAATGAATTAACTGAAGACTTGCAGACTTACATCTGCATTTAAAAGTTGTTCCACTTTACACCATGATGGTGTAGAGAGGAATGGATAGTAAATCTCCTCAGAGCTAGTCTGTACATGATGATGTAGAGGAAAAAACAGTGCCCTAGCCAGGATTCAAATCCCAGACTTCCACTGTTGAACAAAATGGGCAATATTCATGAAATATTAGCCTTTACTGGTAGTGGATTCCATTAATGCAATGGTACATACATGCAGCTCAGATGGTTGAGTGTTGCATTTTTTCAGTACTAAAACTGTAACCAATTTAAAAACTGGCTGCTACAGCTAGACGAAAAAGATTAAGGTCAAACCCCCAGAACCACTCTTTCTTATTAATCCCTATATATACTACTCAATTCAGTCTACTCATTTTACTTACACAAATTCAATTAACATATTTTAAAATAAATGTCTCAAATAGTTCATTAAAATTCTGTACATGTTTACTGTATCTCCTGTCCAGTAACCAAACCATTTTCACTTTCATGTGCATAAAAAATGCTAATGTCATCACAGCACCCTGCAGCCATGAACATGCCCAAAGGATTAATCAATTATCTGCCATCAACAACACCAATATGGCATCCAAGCAGGCACTTGTGATGAGAGCAAAATGTCATTAAAATCACAGTCCTGAAAGAATGATATTCCTGAAAATTATGCTAATTCTCTGAAGTCAGATTCACACGAAACTGATGAATGCGGAAGTACTTGTCAAATATGGTACTAGAATATAAAGATTAAACACTTTTTATACAGGAAACTGCAAATATAATCATGGGGGGAAAACACTCAGGTTGTCTCATAATTTTCAGCTTTTGTAAGGTACAGAAGTCTACAGCAGCAGAAATTCTGTACAAACAAAGATTGTGAAGTTATAAAATTATTATACTGACAAGTGTTCTTTGCTCTGTTGGTAACATTATGGTAAAGGAAAGACAATTAAATTAATTATATCAATATCTACAAATATAGCAGAGTAACAGCTTCTATTGCCGTATATTAAAAAACAAAACATATGTACATACAGACTAGAACAGATTTCCTCTTTGTTTTTTCTTTTTCTTTTCACACTTAAGTCTGCTGAATATCTATGATCTTCCTTAACCTTAAGTCCAATCAGAATTACCATGTTTTACCCTTTCCTCATTTGAACACAATCGGGCACCAATAAATCTGACCCATCTACAGCAGCCACCTTCAAATTTTAGGCTACTTAATTTCTAAACAAAATATGAATACACAATCACTAAAAAATGATCATCATAATGAAATTACTAAGTAAAACAGAAAACCAAGATTTTCTGAGCCTTGATCATAATACTGTGGTTGTAATATCCTCTCATAAATACAATGCACAGAAACTAAATAAGGCTATAGATCACAATCCAGATGCCCTTTAACACAATCCAAAAGTCCATGCATTCAGATATCTAAACATCCTACATAATTTGGTGCACCAGACATATGTTTTGCAATTCGAAATAGTGCTTTAAAATATATGCACAGATTACAAACGTTCCTATGCTCTCTGGATTTACTGATAAGCGGTCAGAGAGAATTAAAGTAAACTTAAAACATGTGACATTAGAGCTAAAAAGTGAAACAAATCTTCAATTTTACCAGTGTTTAATATGCGCTTTGATCACAGATGAAATATGCCATAATATATAACATTTACAGAGCTGTTCATTTCATTTTAAGCCTTATCACATACTCATATAGTGAGCCACCAGCCTGTGGGAATGTTCTCTTACTTACTTACTCATGGAGCTAAGCCCTTCTTGAGCCGCCAATTTTGCAGCTACTCAAAAATTTCCTGGCATTTTATGGAACGTGAAGGTTCATTACCGTGTTCACAAGAGCCCTCCACTGGTCCTTATCCTGAGCCAGATCAATCCAGTCCATACCATCCCATCCTATCTCTCTAAGATCCATTTTAATAGTTGATTCACCTACGCCTTGGTCTTCCCAGTGGTCTCTTTACTTCTGGCCGTCCCACCTATATCCTATATGCATTCCTTGTCCTCCCCCTTCATGCTACATGCCCTGCCCACCTCATCCTCCTTGACTTGATCATTCTAATTATACTTTGACAAGAGTACAAGTCATGAAGCTCCTCACTATGCAGTTTTCTCCAACCTCCTGTCACTTCATCTATCTTTGGTCCAAATATTCTCACCACCACCTTGTTCTCAAACACTCTCAGTCTATGTTCCTCCCTTAATGTCAAAAACCAAGTTTCACACCCATACAGAACGACAGGCAAAACTATAGTTTTGTATATTCTAATTTTTGTTTTTGGACAGCAGACGAGTAGATAGAAGGTCTGACTGAATGGTAGCAAGCATTACCCTAATTCAATCTCCTCTTAATTTCCTCCTGAATCAGGTTTTGATTTGTTATCGTTGTCTCCAAATATCTGAACTGTGCCACATTTTCAAAACATCTGTTTCCTATCTTTATGTCATGATTTTGTCCTGCATTTTGGCGAAGAGACAGCAATATATACTTAGTTTTCTCTGTGTTCACTTCTAGACCAACCTCCTTACTTGCGTCAATTAAAATTCAATACCACATCTTATCATGATTAGATACACACACCTTACAGCAGACTCGTCAAAACAAATGTGCAAGCGTGGAAAATATGGAAATGAACTGCACACTTATCATTACTTCAGTCTTATAGCAGAATTTGGTAACACATGAGTTTCTGCATAACCACCACTAATCAGTTAGGTGACTGCTTAGACAAAGAGTCATGACTACCCAATGAACAGCTCTGTAGCGGTTTGGCTGTAAACATAAAACTGTTCAGAAATAAATATTTGTTCCCTATCTGGAGACATCCTTCTTGGAAATATTCTTAGATCAAAACGCAAACACACATCTCAAAAACTAGGCCTACAAACCCACTGGGACTTGGTAATGCTGTCACTGAACATAATTTCTTGTGCTACAAAGCAAAACAGTAAAATAACAAATGGAAAGTTCCAAACTTACTTATTAAATAACAGAAAGTAAAAATATTCCTAACCACAGGTGGCACATAAATTTGCCACTGGAAGCAAACAGACTATGATTGTGAATGTGTTAAAATTAAATGCATCTGTCTTACCTAACATGGACCCCATCTGCTATGTGTTGTACTAGCTCACCAAGGATTTCATGTTTGATGTAATACAACATTCGTACTCTCAGGAGGATCCTGAAACATAAAGAAAAGAACAAATCAGTGTAAATACATTGCACATACGTCCTTGTATACGACTTGACCTCGACCACATTACCTTGGATATGAAATCAACTGCTGCATGATGGATCACTATTGGTTGCTGAATTGGCTGTGTGTGTGTAAGAAAGAGAGAGAGATCCCCCCCCCCAATATAAAAGATACTTTGAACTTGTCTTCAGCTGTAGCATGTTCACTGCATGGTTCACATAATGCATAGTTAAAACTTTGCGGACTGGCGATT